CCTCTCCCCTTTACTTCCCACTTCCTCCCTCATCTCATCTCTCTGATGTGTTAGTCACAACAGGACTTCTGGAAATCAGAGTTTTAACAACTCTATGGTTGTTCTGAAGGCCTTGATTTTGCCTAAAACAGACGTAATTTGAGAAATAGATTTCATATGAGAATGTAAATTCTGTAGCCCATACAATGCACGTACACATGGCACGTTTTTGGGCTGTCTCTTCATTCTGTGCCTCTCACTCAGGAGGCAAGCTAGTCTGTCATCTCTCCCCAGGGAGCACTGAAGTCAAGAGAGTACATTCCGAGCCATCTGTCTTGGGTTAAGACTTCCCATGTACAGAGCCAATCTTCCAAAGGTTCTTATTGCAGAAGCCCGGATTGTCTTCCCAATGTAGGAAGGTGTAGGTGTAGGGTGATGGTGTAGGGCCAGCCTGCTCCCTCACCCCAGCCAGCACATAGTTTGGAAACTGTTACCTCACATTTATTTTTCTTGCCGGAGGTATCTTCTTTATTGCAGCCAGAGAGGTGCACCCAGGACCGCCTCGCTCCTTCTTGAGTCTAGACATACTATTTATGAAATGAGTTGAGAAAATCCGGCAGCAAAAACTGGTCCACACATGCTGGACTCACACACACACACACACACACACACACACACACACACACACACACACACACACACACACTACTGTGGAATCCTTCATCAGAGGTCTTGCTACTGAGAATTTTGTTCCTGCTCTACGTCAAACACATTTCCTGAGTGGGAGGCTCCTGTGAGTGAGAGAATCATCTTCAAGTTGCGTTTGGGTCAAAATGTGTTAGAAGTAGGCTTTGATGATTGCATTCTAGCAGCTGTTGAGAAGACAGAGTGTGCACAGAGAATCTTTTAGTGCTCTCCTACCAAGTGACAGAGTGATGTATTTGTATAAAGTGAAACATTACTTATCATTTATTCACAAAAGGGAAATGCACAATGCAGTCTTTCCAGCATCTAAAAGTCTTGTCAGAGGCAGCTCATGGCTGTCCATCACCTGTATTGTAGATAAATGGCCACATTTTCCAGAAAGCAACCTGCTTCTTTGTGATTGAGTTTCACTATCCATATCCCTACGTCTAGCTAAGTCTGATGAGCACATGGATGAGCCTGGGACTGCGGAATCTTACCAGGCAAGAGTTGTGGGAGGAGCTCCGTGCAACTCGTGAGAAGTGTCAGGAGCCATGCATTTTAGTTTCACATGGCCTTGAGGTCTTGGAGCCAACTTCAGCAGGGGAGCAACATAGCCTTAAGTAATCAAATCTATGCCTAGGTGGGAGGTTCTGATACCTGCACCCCGCGCTCACTGTTGTGTCTTCAGGTGGTGACTCCCATGGGAGACGGGACAGACTGCCCTGGAGGAATCATGGGAAGAGTGTGGAGTGAACGTTTCCAGGGAAGAAATGTAGAGAAGAAAGGAAGGCAAAGATGCTTCCAGATCTTCGTGACCTCGTTTATGTCAGTGGCTGGGGGCTTCTGGAGGCTCAGACCCGTTATTATCTCAAGAGTCTGTGAACTGTCACCAATTCCTCCACAGATGCTGCTCACGGCTCCATTGTGTCTCCGTTGCAGATCTCACAGCAAGTGCGATTGTGCACTTATTTATGAGACCATTTAGTGTTATGTCTCCTCTCCACTAGCCTGTGAATGCAGACACTCTGTGAGGAGCTGTGGGCATCTTTGGGCAATGACTAGATAAGTGAGTGAAGGCTCCACATTGCTCTGCGTCCCCGGTGTGTATGTTTCAGGACATGGAGGTCCACAGAGGCCCCGGAGACCATTTTCTGGTGTCACTGTTGTGGGAGAGGAGATCCATTTGCCCTAGTTTCCACATGTATATTTTCTCATAATGTGCTCTCCTGCTGGCTCTTAGTCACTCCTTGGCTTACATCTTTAACACAATTTTTATTTTTGAAACTGTAGTTACTTAACCAGGGTTTTTCAGCTTGTATCTAGTGTTTGGGCACAGGGGGAGTGGGGGAGCTGGTTTTAGTCCAAGGTGCTAGGAAAGGAAACATCGTTTGTCACCAGCCCTGACGCCGGCAGGCTTGGCGTTTGCAAAGGCAACATTTGACTCTCACAAGCAGGTATTCTTCAGCTTGGGCAGGCATTTGGCTTAGTGGGACAAGCCCCGGACTCAGAACATCATGTTTGTGCATCATCAGCTGTGTGGCTTGGGCAGGAGACCTAGTCACTCTAGGCTCAGCCTTTTCTTTTATGAAGTAGGGATGAAGGTACTTTCTCCTGAAGTCACTGGAAGAATTAAGTTGGAAAATACCAGTGAAGGCTTGGTCCAAAATAAATCCTTAGCAAGTCTGTGTACATCACCCCCTGACCTTTTTCTTTCCTCCCTTTCTGCAGTCTCCATTGAGAGGCCGAGGAGGGCACCTATCACCCAGTGCATGAATGAGTTCACTCGGTGGGAGAATGCAGGAAGATCTGAATGGAATAGAGTGTGACCCACACTGTGTATTACTTTCCAGTGTTGAATGGAAGTGGTGAAACTTACTTAGCAAGCACCCAAAGGTTCGGACACTGTGGCAGACATTTGAAAGGTGTTATCTCATTTAATCATGACAAGAATGCTTTCAGTAAGGTTCCATTATCAACACTGTACAAATGAAATGAAAGGTCAGTGAGACTGTCGTGGGATAATGGTGCCATAAGTAAGAAGTGATTTTACTAAGGTCCCTTGAAACAGAAGGCCACAGCTGGGGTGTGTGTGCAAGTTACCAAGGTGAGCCAGGGAAGCACCACTTATCAGATCAAGGCTTCTTTGTCTCTTTATTAACTCCGTGATGAAAAAGGGGAACTATAATTCAGCATGACAAATACTCTGGCTTAACATCAATAAGGCTGGGAACAGCGTTGAGGGTATGAGTGCTCTGTATGTGTGAGAATCTGTACTTTGGTAGAGGAAGGTGGGGTGGGTTTGGGTGGGACACCACGAGAGGAGGGAGGATGATAAAGCTGCTCTTCCCAGAGAAAGAAAAAGCACATCTTTTTTACATCTATCCGAGAAGGAAGAAGAGAGGAAGATGGCAGGGGACCGATGAGAAGACAGCTGGGGCCTGTGAGGTCATAGTCAGTGTCTTCTCTTTGTCACTGAAGATTCTGTTGTGATTTGAATTTGTAATCCCCCCCCCCGTGGGTTCATTATTTGATTGTTTAGGACCCTGGATGCTTGTACTATTTGGGTGATGTTCTGGGAATTTATAGGGCTGAACTGGAGGAAGTGGGTCACTTTGGGTGTGTCCTTGGGGATGTATTGTTTTTGGACGTTTCCTGTTTGGATCTCTTGGTCATAAAGTCCACATCTCTCCACCAAAAGCTCCTGCTGTCCGAGTGTCCTGACCAAGTACATGGGGCTAAGATTCTATACACCGAACCTTGCAATATTAGGAGCCAAAGTAACCCTTTTTCTTAAGTTGTCCCTGTCAGATATGTTATTAACTGTGAGGCGAACAAATACAACTTCCGAGGACATTAAACAAGCATTTATTTTTATTTTATTATGTGTATGGGCATTCTGCTTGCATGTCTGCATGTGTACCACATATGTGCCTGGTGCCTGTGGAGGCCAGAGAAGGGCATTGGATCCCCTGAAAATGTTGTCACAGATGGTTGTGAGAATCTTCATGTGGAACCGAACCCAGGTCTTCTAGAAGGACAGCTAGTGCTCTTGATCACGGATCTCCAGCTGCCCAAGGATATGTTGTTTGAATTTTCCCTCCTTCCCTCCGACACTCAGCTGAAGAGTGGGGCTTAGCCTTGTGTTGGCTCAATAGGAACTATCGGGGAGATTGGCTGGCTGATAGCTGTGGGAGGCCTGTACTTTTCTGAGGGGAAAGGAGAGTTAGTGGATGGGAATTTGGGGGGTGGAACTGGAAAGAGAGAAGGAAGGGAGGGGGAACTGTGGTTGGGCTGGGTAAAAATTAATTAATTGATTAATTAATAAAAAAGAAAAGGAACTAGGAGGGAAAGTCTGGTAATGACAGCATCTAGACTCTCAGGGGAGTGCTCTGGATGGCCACTGGCTTTCGATGATGAGATGGAGCCTAGCACTATGAGCTCCTGGGCCAAGGTGGTCCTGAACGTCACCTGGATCTATGGGCAGGTCAGCATGGGGGGAAAGGAATGGCTCAAGGGAGGGGAAGGGCCATGTAGTGGAACATTTGTTTAAGTATGCACAATGTGTTGCATTTGTTTATGTAAAGATGTGTTGCTGTTTCACCTTGCCTGCCTAAGGCACTTGATTGGTCTAATAAACAGCTGAACGGCCAATAGTGAGGGAGGAGGTATAGGTGGGACTTCCAGTCAGGGAGAGTAAGTAGGAAGAGGAATTTAGGCTAGAAGAAGAAAGAAAAAGAGACTCCCGGGAGACAAAGGGAGGCAACCAGACAGACATGGAGGAAGCAGGAAAGTAGGACATACAGAATGAAAGGTAAAAAGCCCTGAGGCAAAGCATAGATGAATAGAAACAGGTTATATGAAGTTAAAAGAGCTAGTGGGACAAGCCTACTCTAAGGCCAGGCATTTTTAGCTAATAATAAGTCTCCGTGTCTTTATTTGGGAGTTGGTTGGTGGCCCTAAGAAAATTCCAATTACAGGGCCATGCTTACAACTGCTTGTGCGAGGAAGCATCCTGGATTCCTCTGGGTCCCAGGGTTACCAGGAGGAATAACCTACTTTAGGGTTCATAGCTCCTGTAACTTGCTGGGCCTCAATAAAGGCCTCCTCTGACTCAGATCATGTTTCTAGTTGTCTCCAATAGCAATACTGCCAGGCTCAGCTCTCGTAGAACAGGAGGCCTGGAAGGAAGCCTCATGGGGTCTACCATGGTCATATTCACCACGCTTCTCTCACCGTGTGGATATAGGACAGAGCCTCAGCGATGCTGATCCCGTCCAGTTTGCAGTCTCTCATCCCACCACGTGTGTGAACAATAAAAACCCTCTGAAGTCATCTTTACTGTGAAATTCTAAAATCATATTTATTCACCAATTCACAGAAGTGTCATCACGACCACCAACATGAATCAGTTTGTAGGCATTTACAAGCCAAGGCTGAAAATAAATATCTGTCTGTGTTGAATAGGCATTTAACAAATTACTCAGAAACTGCAGGAATCGAAATTGTTAGAAATTTAAAGTTTGGGATTCAGGCATGAGAAGATCACAGTCATGGGAAGAAACTCAACCGATTCCCCAAGAGGTTCTTTTCCTATGAAATCTTTATGTACATGTACACTCTTGGCCTCCTTCACTCTGCATCATTTAGAATCTAGTAGGGCAATTAGGCAGGGAGAGGGTGCCAAGGGGAGGGGTGGAGGGTAAGGTTTTTCTCTGGTCTCCTGTGACTGACTGAGCAGCATTATTGACCGACAACATAATGCACTGTTCTGAAGTTAGATTCAATTTTCTATAAATTCATAAGTCCTCCTAATAAGACATTTCAAGGTTTGCATTGGATCAGACTCATACACACACAGTAGCATAGTTACCAAATAAATACATTTGTAGACTAAGAAGATTCATTCTTGGAAGCAGCTCAAGAGGCTCAGAACACATATGCCAAGGACACGCTGGACAATCCCCAGGTGAAGCTGGCTCCAGGTAAAGACACTCCAGCTGCTCGGACCTAATGGCCACTGCCCAGTAAGGAGCAGGTAGAAGGGGGTTCCATATAATGAGGCTGCTTTTTCTCTCTGCAGGGTGGAGCCCAGAGAGGCTCCAGTAGAGCAAACAGCTTGTCTATCTTAGGCCTTTCCCACACACTGAGGTTGAGGAGCTGGAAACAAACAGCCTTCTCACACAAGGTTTTTAAATGGTGACATCATCTCCAGAGATGGGGAGGGAAGGGCCTGAGATTGGCTGAACCCAGAACCTTTATATTTAGTCCCAGCATCATGACTGAGGATGACAGACTCAACAGTATCTATCAGGTACTTAGGGAAAGGCAGAGGCAATGGTAGGGTGGGCAGACTCTACCAGGTAATGTTGTGGGTGTTGTTCAGATAGGTTCAAAATGTGTGCAAGCCACTGTGTGCCACATTGCCACTGTTCACTGCTGGAGAACCAGACCCAGTGTCTGTAGCTGTCTGACTACTGCATGGACTGTGGGAATTCACAAAGGCTTCTCTAAGCTAGGAGAAGTGTGTGCTCAACCTGCTTCTATATGGCTCAGTCAATATGGAGGCTAGTGATACACTGAGTCTTCACCAGCAGGGACAAGCTAGGTACTTCACTTCCAAATGTTTACGACTCCTGCTGTGTTCCAGGTACCTCTTCCAGGGCTTTGAGAGCTAAAAACAAATAACAATAAGAATAACCTAAGGCTTCTGGAGAATTAAAGTTTATTGGGAATGATGACCTCTCTGTTTTCTATTTCACTTCCATATTATAGATATGTATATATGTATGTACATATATATTATCAGCTTCCCTTCACCTACTTATGTCTGGTATTTTATATTTAAACTCCAATTCCCTAAACTAATGGCCTATCACCTCATGATGATTCCTTCTTACAAACATCACAATGCCCATGCAATAACATAACAAGTCCCACTCTAGTAACTATAGGCTTCCTTGGGTACAGCCAGTTTCTGTATAACCTTTCTTCTTTCTCTTCTGTTTCTCCAATCCCCAGCCATGCCTGGCCAGACCAGGGCACCAACAGCTCTTTCTTGGAAGCAGATCCTATGGAAACCTGGTAGGTAGATTGATCTGTCATCTGCTTCAAGTGGCTCTGACTTGCAAAGCAATTGTAGTGACTGCCTCTGTGGTCACATGGCTCCACTTGTCCATGATTCCTCTGACATGTGAATCTAAGTGTAAATACAGAGCAGTACTCTTCCTTCTTGGTTGCTCCTCATGTTGTCCTCCTAATCAACTTCTAGTTCACTCTCCAACTCTATCACCTTCTCATTCAACATCTCTTCCCTTCCTTTTCAAGTGATTCACCTGGGTGCCAAATCTAACTTCCTTTCCCCAAAACTCTTCTCTACATCCACCCTCTAGAGTGTGTCTGTGAGAGTGCCATCAATACTCCCACCAGGGTGCCTTTGTATCATGGAGAGTGGGTAGTGGTGAGAGCCACTGCCCAGGATTCCCTGATGGCCAGAAAGGATGCACTGTTGCCTCTGAAGATGGACACATGCATTTTTTCTCAGCTACGTGACTCATGGATCCAGGTGAATCCCTTAGTCCCCCAAGGAATCCTTTCAGAGGGCAAAGGCTACCTTCTTGTCCACCCCAATCCCTTTCCCACAGGGGTGCTGGAGTCTAGACCTAAAACCTTTGGGTTGATTCTCTGCCTTTGCAAATACATATAACCTCTTAGCTTTTTTTTTTTCTAACAGCTCATTCTGCTGGGGAAAAGAACCCTCAATATTTACGTTTGTGCCCATGTCTGTTCCAAAATGCTCAGTATAAAGGGTCCAGGTAACAGAGGTACATTTCCATTCCCAGATAAAAGAAAACAGACATTAAAGCCAACATGATTTTGTTCCTGTGATTAATACACTCCATCTGCATTCTGGAGTCTCTCATGTCTTCTGCCCTCTTCTCATTAGACTATCGGGATTTGAGCTTCATGGTGATGAATCTTTCCACAGTATATCTGATAAAAGTGGCAAAGAGCTCGGTTTATTAAAATATTAAGGCTCCATTTCCTTAGTCCTGTGACCCATGAGGTTAAACAAATGGGCTCATCAAGGCCTACAGATGCTTGCTTTGGGGAGACATTTTCACTGATCCTACCTGGGAAAGATTGCTTTGCAAAGAAGTCTCTTCCTGTCATCTGCCATCTGTCCTTCCCCCTTCCACTCTTCTCCCACTCTTGATTTTGCAAACAACAAATGACAGACTAAAACTTGGCTGGGGGAGTCTTTCTCCACCAGGGCATCTTAACTTCAAACCATACTCATTCTCTGAGGCCAGGTGATCTCTGGGATTCTACTCAGTCTGACATTTGTTGAGCCCATGCTGTGGGCCGGATGTAGTGCCGGAGACACATTGGTTGCATCCTTAGTGCAGGACCAGGATCCTGGGACACATCAGTTACTCTTCTTGCCTTAGGGAGGTGGCGAATGGAGGTGAGGAAAGTTGGAGGGTCTAAACTAGTTCCATACAGTCATGTTTTCTAGGGTACTCTGAGAAGGTAGACTTGGCTCTTGGGGGGTGGCTCTTCCTCAGGGTATACCATGTCAATGGTTCAGAAGTACCAGTTTGCAAATTCTGCTTGTTGACTCCATCACGTGTCCCTCTCCTCCATGGGTGACATTCTACTACTCACTCAGTACCCCTGCTATCCTGCCTGGATCCGATCTGCCCCAAGAGCCAACTGTCTCCTTGTCCTGCATGAACAAATGTGCCACCGAGAGTCCTGCTTCCAGGACCACTGTCCATCGCTTTCTGTTTTGTCCCTACGCAGGCTTTTGTAATAAATGGCTGGTGTGTAAGGAAAACACAGAAAATTGCCTTAAGTCTTGGCAAAGAAGTGTTGCCAGCAGGGGCTTCACTCAGAGAGGCCAGGCTGTAAAAGAAAATGTCCTCTATTTGGTTTTCGCATGCTTCTCAGATAAATAGCAGGCATGTCCTACATTTTCTTTTCTGTTCTCTCTTTTTTTCCCCCCTTTTCTTCTATGTAATGAAAAAAGCAGATTCTAAGTTCTTAGAGATGTGTGTTCTCACCGTGGTCTCTGTGCTGGTCTCAGGTTCCCTTTGGAGTCCTTAGGGGCTCAGTGAACTGTCTGTCAGGAAGGACATGTTCTGAGCAGGAAGGGTTGGGTTTACAGAAAATATAACTGGTTCTCCTAGCTTATGTGCTGGTCATTTCTCTTCTGTGCTCTGACCTCTGATCTTCACCTTGAGATCCCGATAAGAGGTTAGACTTAGGCCATAGGCACAGTGACTGAGAAAACACCAAGGAGTTCCAGCTGATACCATAGTGATTTTATACCATAGTGATCTCATACCATAGTGATCTTACTCCATAAGTCAGGCCTCGGGTATCTGGTAGTTCGAGGAAATGGTTGGGAACTAGAGCCTACATAGACCACGGGAATGATATTCCCACTGTACATGAAGCTGCAGCCTCAACTTTTTTTTTTCTTTCTACTTTTAGTAACATGGGTTACTGTCCTTCCAAGAGAAGCAATCCATTCCCCCATCCAATTTAGTGTTTGAATTGTGACTGCATTCCCCAGTCTCGCTACAGATGAATAGAGCTGCAGTAACCTGGGAGTGTCCTTGAATGACCCTGCTCTCCAGGATGCGGGCTGTGAGCAAAGCAGCCTCCTAGTGGCCCCGGCTCATGGCTGCAGGCTCACCACTTCCACATAAAACATGGCTTTGAAGGAGGCTACTCAATGCACAAGAACTGGGCAGGTGGCCTCCCTGGGGCTGGGTGATTTCAATACAACCCTCCCAGGCAGTGTCTGTCACTACTGTAGAAGGGGCACATGGGCAGGAGTCATCTCACATCCCAGCAGAGGAGAGCAATTGGAATTGGGACCAGGTTCTTTGAAATTATTGCTTCAGGGGTGTGAACTGGGGCCCTGCTCTGTTTCCCTCTGTCACTGGTTATTTTCTCTGGTTTGTTAGCAGCAGCACCTCCAAGCGCCAGCAGAGGCTGGGCTCATCCTCCACAGCAATGGTTCTCAAACCCTGACCTGCCTGAGCATCGGACTGCTCCAAAAGCACACCTTGCTGAGCCTCACTAGTTCCCAGGTGCTGCTGCTGTTACACTCACCGTGCAAATCACACAGCCAGAGAACCGGAGCTGTGCAATAATGTGAACAAACCTCTGCAGACCCCCCCAGAGCTCCATTCTTCACATGCGAACCCTCACATCAGGCTAGCCAGACCCTGGGCTTTGGCTGTCAGCTCCCCACCCTCTTAACCACCGTTCATGACCTGTCTGCTCTGCCTGGTTGCTACTCCTATTTAAGGACTTCCTCTGTCTTAGTTTTTACCAAATCTTAGTCGTCAGTCACATTATTTCTGCATAGAGGGAAAGGTTTTCCTCTATAAGTGACCTGAACCATGATAACTAAGGAGTATTTAGGAGCACATTGCTCACTTCCCTAAAGATCTTGTTTGTTCATGGAGGCCCTTCAGCACTCCTAGGATCATCCCTATCCTCTGACTTAAAGCAGATGACTGCAAAGCAATTATATTCTACCCTAAACTTCAGCCCCTGACAGTCCTAACTGCTTGTGGATAGCTTCTGGTACTACACGACCAGGGATCCTCATGGGCAAGGCTCTAGTTCATTCATTCATTCATTCATTCATTCATTCATTCATTCATTCATTCTCTCTTCCTGTTTTCTGGCTTAGTCTAGCACACCTGGGTGAGGACTTGCTGACTTCGTTGAACATAGCTGCAAACAGAGACTCCTATTCACTAATTGACTGAACACAGCAGCTATCTGTTCTTTGAGATGCTTGTGGAGGTAATTTCTGCCTCTTTTTGTTACCATGGGACAGAGTCAAGCTGGGCTCCTAATCCGTAGCTGCTGGAAAACCAGCTCTCCTTCTCTAACTAGTGTCAGGAGGAAGATAATGCAAGACAAATGTACAAAGTAAAACTAATAAAGACAGTCAAATGAGGGTGCTGAAGTTGACTTCAAACTGGCCTTGCTCATTTCCTCTCCCTACAGCTGGACAACCGAAAGTGGTTACATGAAAATTAAACCGTGCCAAGGGCTTTGGCTTGTCAGCCTCCATAAATGTCTGGCACAGAGAGAGAAGCCTGTGCCATCACAACTGCCTGAGCACATTGCAGGAGGCTTCTGGGATCCCTCCAGGGGCTCCATGTTATATGAACATCATCTACTATTCACTATTCTTTTAAAGAATTAGATTTATTCCCTCCCTTTTTTTTTCTGCAAAGCCTATCCGGTTAATTTAAATGGGGAAGATGATTAACAAAAAGTACTCCTTTCTTTGCCGCTAATATTGAGTCATGGAGGCAAGAAGACTGTTAATTTTGAAGTGTGCTGGGTAGGGCTTTCTGCTGATTGTGTTGCTATTGATTGGAACAGCCACAAGTCTTTAGGATCATTTTTAGAGCGAAGACATGAACAGGGCCGAAATGAAAATCAGTCCCAGATAATGAACACTTCTGCTTGGAAATCATTACGGACTGAGCCCTGCTGGGAAGGTGCTGAACCTGGGGAGTTAGTTCTTGCCTCAGCAGAGGAGGGAGTCGTGCTCAGTGATTAGCCAGGTCACTGGGCCCGAGGCATCCAACCCTCAGGAATATTTGTCTGATTTCATCAATTCAGAAATAACAAGTGGGGTTTTTGTTGGTTCACTTATTTATTTACTTTTCATTTCCTCCAATCTCCAGTGAATTTCTAAGAGAGATTTCAGGAAAGACCCTAGACTCTTCCAGCTGTTCAATTCAAGGCAATGACCACCAGGGAGCCGATCGATGGATGGGCACACTGGTATAGTTTGTTTCCTCCCGGGAAATGGAGGGGTGCTTTCTGTGTATTGTGGGTAAGAGTCTGCTTCACATGGATCTGCTTGGTGGCTAGTTTTCTAGATGTCTTGCAGTCTAAGCTTTGAGTGGAAAAGTGAGAAATAGAGTAAAAAGTTCATGACATGAATTGAATTCAATGAGTTCAAATTTCCTTTTTTTTTTTCACTATCATATATCAATTTTACTGGAAAGTAAATGGAGAAACTAACTGGGATTTCCCTTTGTTTGGGTGTTGTTCGTGGCTGCTTTCATGCCATGAGGTGGTGGTGTTCAGTACGAGTGACAGAGAACAAATGGCTTACCGCCCTAAGTCTTTCTTTTCTAGATCTTTCCAGATAAAATTTGTTGATCTCTGATGCACGGGAAGAGGGCACTGATTTCTAGTAGTGGTTGCTTTCCTGGAGACTCAGGGTTCCTGGAAGACACACTCCCTTGCTAACGTTAGAGACATTGGTCTCCACTGAGCATGGTGGGACAGTTGGCTAGGTCAAGAAAGTTCTCACAGGAAGTGTTGCCACAGAAATCACAGGTGTGGTATCTCTGTGACTTGGGGCCTTGGTCAGACTTACAGAAATGGTTTAAATCTGTTAGAATATTCTCATCATTCCTCTCAAGACTTCTCCAGTGGGTTTAATGGCCTTACTCCAGTGGGCAACCCGCACCATGCTGGTCTCTTCTGACCTCACCCTCACTTTTCTCATCCTCTCCGAGTTACCTGAGAATGGCAGCCTACCTGTTTTCAAGCTCTGAATAGCAGACTCAGGCTGTCCATTTGGCCAGCTAAGCAATGCACTGGTCTGTGGCCAAGCCAGTCAGCTGCTTCTCCTAGGACCGAGTCTGCCTCTGTTTGACGGCTCAACTCTTCCTGAGAAGTCACATGGTGTCCAGATCATCTGGGAGTTTTGGTTTCAAAATACCATCATCCTACAGAGCCTGGGAAATGCCAGTGTGATTCCTATCTTGTACTCATTGGTCAGAATATCTGGTGGGAGGCATATGACATCACCTACCACTCACCTGGATACCTGCTCAAGCCTGTTATTTTATAACCACTCCCCACCTTGATCTCACCCAAGGTAACAAAGTGAGTGTTGGGAACAGGATTAAAAACTTGTGGTCCCAGTAGCATCATTTAGATGCCTCAGCTTTGGAGCTTGTGCACTGAAGGAGGAGGGAGAGGCTTTGGTTTCTTGTTATCACCATTTCCCTGCAAATAAGTCCAGCCACCAAATCCCTCCTGCGACGACACATCTTTGCTGGCTTATCCAAATGCTTCCCAACTTCCATCTGCTAACCCCCTCCCCCAAAAAAACCATAAAGGTCTTCTAATACCCCAAACGGTTCTCCTAACCATGAATGAGTAATGCAGCCACAAGAGGTAGCCCAGGGGCATGAGAACGGCTTTCCACCCAATCGGAACTGAAAAGCCAGAGCAGAGAAAAGTACTCTCTCATAAACCCTAGGCTTAAATATTTGCAATCAAAATCTCATTCAAAAAGGATTGGTTTTAAACATACAAAGTGTTCCCTTTACTGCCATAATTTTGGGAGAATTCAGTAGCTCCTAAATGCCTGACTGAAGAACGTCTTTTTTATTTAAATAATGGGATTGTGAAGCCCAACTGGCCCTGTAGATTTTCCCCTTATAAATGTGCGGAAATAGCGTGACAGAAAAGGGGGCGTTTGATTGAGGTAATTCATGGGAGATGTGTCTATTTCCTTTCCATGAATGTAAAACCTCAAGTTTCTTCCAAGAGAGAAAAATGAGGGCACTGATGGCACTGGTAATGTGTCCCTCTTCTTCCTGTGTCTTCTGCCTCTTTTCTCTTGTGTAATTCCCATGCCTGCTTGTGTCCCTTCTATAACTCTCAAGTCCTCTGCGGGGAAAGGTCTGTCTCATTCAGCTTCATCCCATTCCCACTGCTTGCTGGTAGAGTGTTTAGCAAATAGTGGGTGGTCAGAAACACATGTTAATATGAACATAAGTAGAACCATGGACCAGGAGCAGAGGGTAATCTGTACCTCTGAAATGACTCTGAGCCTCAGTTTACTTATCACAAAAATGTACCTAATAATAGGTTTCTCAAATATTTCACAAGGTTATTTGGAGACTCAAACAATGGGAAGGTATGCACAAAACACTGCAGGAGAAAGAAAAACAGCATAAGGTAGATCTCCCCGGCCAGAAGCTTGGAAAGACCTGGCATGGATCCTCACTGCCTGGGGGACTGAGAAGAGGACCAGAGGACATCAGTTGCAATCACTCCCTGAATGCTCTGTTGGGATGACATGGGGACCATTCAGTATTCAGTTGAACCTGAAGGCTGTGTAACAAGAGACCAACTGTGGACGGGGACCAAGCCAGTTCAGGATGGGCTTGGGGCAGAGTGGGATGATGGGGATGGCCTATACAGACTGAGAACAAAGAGGAGCTCAAGGTGTTTGAAACAAACATGTCCTCAGAGCCTTGTGGACCTCTTACAACAGCCTTCATTCTTGCCTGCTATTCTCTAGACCACAAAAGATTGTCCACCAGTTACTATAGCAACAGTTCTCCTCACCAAGTGCCCACGTTAGAATGGAGATGGAAAAGTCTTCCTTATTAAAATAAGAAGAAAGAACAAGAAATTAGGGTTTTGATATATTTGCCCTCTATTCAAAGCATCCCTCCTTTTATGAGAAGAAGAAAGAGGCAGCTGCTATTATTGCAAATATTCTTTGAATTCCTAGCAGTTCAATTTCCCAACTTTCATTGCAGACCATGAGAGCCCATATTTGTTCTACTACATCTGAAAAATGGTGTTATTTCCTCAAGAGAAAACAGTAACATAGGAGATAAGGGACCACAGGCTAGGTGGTGAAAGCCTTGTCAACCTTCAGGCTGCCCTTATCTGGGGGAGTGCAGCCATACCAACCCTGTCCTGTGTCAAAGCAGATTTCTATCTACCATGAAGCCTTGCTGGGTCACCATATTAGTCCTTTCTTTGGCGACAGCCAAGCCCAAGTTGTCACCTGAGCAGTGCCCATGTGAAATGCTTCCTGGGCCCCGTGGTTCTGTGTGGTGATAGCCCTGGACAGGGCAGCCCCATGGGTTTAGGCATTATCTAGGCAGGTCTGAACGCTGGTCAGCAAGCCCTTTGATGAGGATCCACTCTACTTAGGGTCTAAGACCAATTAACTTTTGGTTTTGAACTTTTTATACCAGTTTATGTAGTCTCAGAAAGAAGTAAAAGGAAAGACTCTCTGAGCTAGGAACTGCATGTGTGTGTGTGTGTGTGTCGTGTTTGTGCATGTATACATACACTATGAACCTTTCCCTGGAAACTCGATTCTGCCTCAACAAAGGCTTTCTTTTCAATTCTTAAGCCCCAAGACATTACATTTATGAGATTCCACTGCCCTCCCTGTATAAAGCAACCTGGAGACCAAGCACAGGGAGGCCCTGCTGGTGTAGGTGGAGAAAGGCTCTTTAGTCAAGTACATACACAGTGAGTTACAACCCAAGGAGTTTGAAAACACTGGGCCTAGGGGGTGGTAAGTGACATAAAGGTGGACCTTCTCCCCTGCAGAAAAGAACAAGGTGTTCAGAACTCTGCAGACTGGGTGGGGTGACAGGATTCTGGGTGAGCCCAGGGCAGAAGAAGTGAGGGCTACAGGACAGTGTAACCACCCTGACGTCCTCACTGATGGTGACACTGGGCTTCTGGAACTGCCCCATGGTTGGGACACAGGCAGTGCCTGAAACATAGAGGGCAGATTCCAGAAAGCTGATGGCCTTCCCAGACCTGTCCTAGAGGCAAGTGTGACAGGCTTGGGCATACATTGGTTTGGGCTTTACAAAAGGGGCACACGGGCTGGTCAGCAGACCTGTGGGCACTAGTAGGGGAGGGTGGAATCATCCCACTCTAGCTGGGCTTGCCTCGTGCCACTCTGCCCATGTCTGCCTCTGCCCGTGCCTTCTTCCTCTTCCTCTTCGCTCTCGTCAGAGCCACTGCTGCTGGAGCTCATGCCTTCCTCTGCTTCCTCTTCTTCCTCTCCTTCAGTCTCATCTTCCCCATGCCCTGGTCCTTCATGTTTCTGGATGCCAAGGAGGGAAATGAAATATGCATCAAACGCTGAGCAGGGGCCACTCGGGAGCTCTGTGCAGCGGAGACTTAAGACTCCCGGGCTTCATTTCACTTAAGGCTAAACCCCTTACACTGCCTAGATAGGATCACTGGGAAAGACACCTGGTAATAGGGAAGCTGGAAAGCCAGATAAAGGTCTAAAATAGCAGCAAATCCCAGGACACACAGTCAAGGTAACATATTAGTGTCAATGATGGGATGGGCATTTAAACCAAGAGCATCATCTACTGAATCTTTCAGATCCTTTATATAGAACTTTCAGGTTCTTAACTGTCTGTTTCCCAGGGGCAGAATCATGCTTAATCTTGGGACACCTTTCCATGTGGGAACATCATGTCAGTGGAAATGAAAGGTTGTCTAAGTCAAGGTATGGATGTGCTGTAATTAAAAACCATTCTTTTGCAAAGGCCAAAGTTTATGCCCTTACTTTCCATGCCTGTCCCCTTCTGCCATAATGTGCGAATTAAAATTGCACCCTAACTTTTCTAGTTCCACTTTCCCATTTCACAGTTTTGTAGTGATTCCAGCATCATCCTTTATCTGGGTTTATGTTTTGAGTTGGCAAATCAGGTCATTAGTGATACATTGCCTTACGTGGCTACATGGCCCTTTAGATCTTCTTCTATCCACTTCTGTCTTCTCCAAACCATACCCTTTCTCCAAGGCTTCCCTTACTTTAGTCTTCCCTAATGATTGCTGTTACCTCGAATGAATGGCCAGCCCCCAAGACCCTACACACTGGAGTCTCAGCAGGAGCTGGCTTTACTAGGTTGGCCCCTTAAAGGCACACTACCATTTGCTCCTCAGATTTCTCTTGCCACCACTTGAGGCTCAGCTCTTTGAGGATGGAAGTGCTGGAGTCGCATACCAGTGTACTTAGAGAAACAGAGCCAAAGTGGCATGCTGGCTGTGAAACGGGAGCAGGAGATGAGCTGCAAGTAAACTGGAACCAGGCAGCATTGATCATCTCTATTATTTCCCTATGACCTTTCCTGATCTTTCTCTGGGCTTGTGTCTTCCAGACTCAGCACCTGTGGGCAAAAGGAATGATAGGCAGATATATAGATCAGGCCCCTGGCATGGTCATGGATGGTTTTTGGGGGCTATCGGCCAACTGAAATCAAGTGAACTTCCAAGTTGTACTGTCTTGAGTTTGAATGCTGGTTGCATGCATTTGAACATGGTACCACTTATCTCTCAGTTCCCACCTTCATAAATGAGGGTGATGCTTCCCACTTCACACAGTGCTTGTATATACAGAACATCTGGTACAGTGTCTAGCTGAAGGGGAGCTTATTAAATGGCAGGTGTTGTTGTTGTGCTTTTGTTTTTAACTTATTCCAAGCCTTTAAGTGAGCTCTGTAGGCCACCTAATTTGCACTGTTAGCTAATCAAGAGTTCAATATTGAATTCCTGAGTGTTAGTCAGCTCTAAACTACAGTGTGTGTGTGTATGTGTGTGGGGGTGAGAAATAGATGAGTGACTGCTTACTTTAAGAAAATTCTAGTTATGTTTGTGGGGTAAGAATGATTTGCACATTTTACATTGGAGAACATGATTCACAGGGAAATAGAGCTTGTTCATGTTGAGAGGACTAAAGATGTGCAGGGATGGGACAATCGTGGAAAATGGACTCATTAGACTAGGAAGAGTCTGGGTCTGTATCTAGGCAGAGGAAGAACCAAGCCGATTAGCAGAGGAAGTGCCGCCCCCTCCACCCCCACGCTGCCAGAGCTCCCAGGCCAGAGAAGAAGATACCTCCATAGGGTTGACTGTGATAGTTAGTGCAGAGTCATCCCAATCCATCTCCGTCTCTTTAGAAGCCTCAGTCTCTTGGAGAAAATGCTGGTGGGCAATTCGGACTCGGTACACACCCATGGCCACAACAAACACTAGCATGCATACGGAGATAATGATGACCACTGTAGCGATGCTCGGGACCACTGAAATAAAACAGGAATCCAAGTAACATGATGATCAAAGATATAACTCATTCTTCTGAAGGACAGGACATCCATGTTCACAAAAAAAAAAAAAAAAAAAAAAAAAAAAAAAAACTTCTCTCCAATTTCCCAGCTGTAGGGTTCTGGGTCCTTACCTCACTTTGTCTAGAATATACTTTTTTTTTTTTTTTAATCAAATGTGTATCCGCTGTTATACTCACTTTGCTATGGTAATTGTGAGGAGTAAAGGAAATAGTCTCTGTGAGCTTCCATGTAGGCACACAGTAGGCATTTAATAAATGTAGATTCTCTTCTACCCATGGCTTTTCTCCTCAAATTATACAGAAGTTTCCACTGAGAGTTGGGCACTGTAAAATTTAGTAGGGACACAAGTGCTACCAGACAGTGGCATAATATGGCAAGTGCTCAAGCAAAAGCATGGGCAGATAGATCTGAACGTGGTAAGTGTGTGAGGGGTCCATGGAAGGCTTCCGAGCTGGCCCTGAAAATGACTAGTAGAATGTCTCAGCCCTTTGCCCCAATCTCTGTCATTATGGATTGCATGAAACTCCTTACTTAGTGGATTGACTCTCTGTTGAAGCAGGGGTGTTCAGAGAAAGGCTCTGTAGTTTCTCCATGGCAGGACTCCCTTCCTCAGCTCTGAGCACCTTCAAATGCTACAGCATACTGTCTGCTTGGTGGCTGCTCTTGAGTCCCAGTGTCTGAATTGCGACTGAGTATCCTACCTGAACTGCGCTGGATACTGCTCCGGGACTCAGGGTGGTGGACAGACTGGAGGAAGGGTGGCTGTACAATGAGGTGGTTGACATGTTCCTTCTCAGAGACTTTGACTTCATGGAGGACACTGACCTGGGAAGAACAAGGAGAGATGCAGGTAGGCGGTTGAGATAGTTCTCCGAACAAATGAGGGAATGGGTGGGTGGGTCAGGCCTTCCCTAACAATGGCAGGAAACACTCACCTCCAAGTTGAACTCATTGCTAGTGTAACGCCCATTGAGTTCTGAACACTTGATGCGGAACCTCCGGGTCTCAAGGGAACTGGGGTGCCAGTTGCGGTAACGGAGGTGGTGCAGCACCTGCTCATAGCGGCTCATGGATCCCACACCTGCACCAAGAGACCACACCTACCATCAGGAGGCAAAAGAGGAGGCAGAACTGTGGGCACAGGAGACAGACGGATGCTGTTGGGGTTGTGAATCCAAGGGTGAAAGTCGGAGTGCTTCCAGATGGAAAATGAGCAGAAGCAGAAGTTTCAAAGATTAAAGCAATCCAAAGAATTTCTATATAGGTTAGTATATGACTGGAATGGCCTCACTCTGCCAAACATGGCTGAGGCATTTTCTGGGATCAAAATGTGAAACCACTCTTAGTTTCTAAAGATTTCCAGGGAGCAAGGACATAGTACACTTTTCCCAGAGGCTGGAGTCACTCTAGAAAGTAAAATTTAGAAACGTAAGAATTTCCACTTGACCCCTAGGACTGCACGATCACCCCAACCCTAGCTGTCACCATACTCAGCAGTCCCTTGCATAGCAGAGGGGCTATGTGGGACCTTACCATAGATGGAGTAGCCAGCTGTAGAATTAGTGGCATCCAAGTGTCGCTGGTGGAGCTCACTGTGGTTGAGCTCCAAGCACTCTTGTCTTGGATCCAAGTCCCCTCCAAGCACCAAAATGTCACAGAAATCCAAGTTGTGCAGCATTTCTTCCAAGACTGCCGATTTGGGGGCTGTAGGAAGGAGGGTGCGTGAGAAACACCAGCATCCAGAGCTCTTGCTCACTGCGACACCTCCTCTGTTACTGTTTGCATGTCCAGGTGGGTCAGGAGAAGGGGGTATGCAACCCCATCAGCCACACCCACTGCTCAAACATCAGGCCATCTTCAAGAAGGTGGCGTGAATTAGTGGGGAGAAGGTGTGTGTCTCTGAGAAGCTACTCAGTTTCCTCATCTGGGGGACATTATAAGCCATACCCATAGCTTGCATTTGGGGAGAGCTAAGCGGCTCTTCATCAAACTCTTGTAGCTTTTTTTCATGTGGACAGTGTGTTTGTGCATGCGCATGCGTGTGTTCTCACCAGGCTCTGAGGATCTCAAGGGAAGACATTTCTTTAGAATCTAGCACAGGAACTGCTGTGAAGCAGTCACCACTATGCTTTGCTCAAATAGAGACGAATAGTTCATTAATCATCACTGGATTCAACAAGATATAAGTGAAAGTTAATTAATAATTGATAAATTAGAGTAAATTAATTAGTTCATATGCTCCCACAGGAGCACATTAGCAAGCTGGTCAGTCTAGTGGTCCTTGCTTGATTTTATAACTTCAGATTTCTCAGGGAAATATCTATGTATTGGAATGTTAGACCATTTGGCAGTCCTAACTGAAAACCCCATTTTACGTGAAAGCTCCTAGGGACTCAGGCCTACCAGTACCAGCACACAGTAGCAGTGGCTTTGGATGCAGGGAGAGGGTTGAAATTGTGCTTCTGGAAGAGACAAATGTACGCTGTGTGCCAGGCACAGTGCAAACATAATAAACACTAGTCTTATCCATGTCCCGTCATTGTTGAAATCGATGATCAGAGAAGTAGGAGAGTTGCCCAAATCACACAGAGAGTAAGGGGAGGTATGAGATAGAACGTGTTGTTCTAACTCTATAACTTGGAAACTTGTAACCTCTAAGGCAAGTCTTCAGATATTATTGATATATAAAAATAAAAATATTTAAAAAGACATTCAAAGGGCAAGATGATTATTTTAACTAAAAAATTATAGTGGGACCTAAAAGTTTTATTCTCATAAACTACATTTATTCTCAAAACTCATTTAACTACATATTACTAATTTTTGTATGCCTAATTGTAGCCAACCACAATGATTCCATGTGTTGCTAACAATATATGAAAGCACAGTAATCTACATTAACTCTGAGGTCAATCATTAATGGCAGTGGATATGTAATTTTAAATCTCTCCCAGGTGATTTCTAGCTTCCTTCCAGGTGGAGTTAGGTCACCTTCCTCATAATATGGCTGGCAGAGTCACACTAGGCAGATACATGTCCCGGCTGCCATCACACGGCTCTTTCCCTATGGCATGTTCTTCCATCCCTACTTTCCTGGGTCCGTTGTGTTGAAGGGACTGCTGGGTTATGAGTCCAGAGCAGAATCTTCCATGGCTGAGCCCTCCAGGATCTACTGGTCTGGTTTAACAGACAGGCAAGTCACCACTAAGAGGCAAATCTACTGTGAGCCAGAGGGAAGCACCAGGAATTAGCAACCCAGCCTGAGAGGGTGGTGATGAGCAGAACATTTCAGAGCGTTGAATGAAGAGATATTTGCAAACAACCAAAAGCAGGCAGCAGAACAGAGATGAGGACAAAGGAGTTAAGTACCGCAGAAGCATGGAAACATATATGTGGTGGGGCATTGAGTATGTATATGTGTGCTCCTGCATAAATGCGGGTGGCTGTGAGGATATGTGTATATGTGTCAGTGGGGGGCAGAAGATGACCCTGGAACCTGTCACTGTGGCCTGGTAGCAAACGCAGTTAATCCGCTCATTTAAGATTCTCGTAAAAACATTATTTCAACAGTAAGTGTAGAAATTTAGAAGTACTAATAATAGCTCTCGGGTACTGGGCTGTGTGCTCTGCACGCACCTCTCATAAATAGAAGGTGAAATGTGGACCCAGTTAACTGCTTTCTCCCACACTGCCCGTGTGCGTGCGCCAGCTGCAGCAAAGCTCCATGCTCTTGGGCTGTGACCACTGAAGTCAGCAGGCCGTACTTTTTCAGTCTGATTTTAGCCACAAATGAGGACAACAGAAGAGGGAAGGTCACATGACTTAATGCACCTTGGCATGTAACTCAGAAACCACCCTGGCTGGCCAGGTGTGAAATACCAACTATTTTTAGGCGTTCAGGAGGTCTGCCCCTTGAGGACCTAATCGCTGGGGACCAGTGTGGTTTAAGACGGTGGATAATTGGGATTATTATAGCAGCGGCTCTTCAGGGATTCAGGCCTACCACTATCAGCACATCATTAGCAGTGGCTTTGGCTGGGGGAAGGGGGTTGAAATTGTGTTTCTGGAAGAGGCTTCGCAGGACTGCTCTCAAGCAAGCATTGCCCCGAATGCCGAGTCCTGAGTTGCAAAGGGAAGGCTTCCCTCCCTTCCTCTCTGCAGAGTTCCCTCCCTGTGGGCTTCTTTCTTTCTGCCTGCCTCCAGCATACGCTCTTGCTTTCTGTGTAGTTGAGTGTTTCTTTCCAGGCAGAGAATGCAAACTAATCCTTCCCTCAGCAACAGCCCTAATAATGAAACTGGTGGGAATTGCAACCTGGAAGTTCCCCGAGAGCTTAGTCATATTGCCGAGTGAGCCCCAGCCTTCTGCCGTGTATATGGTAATGCGAGGCTGGATTCTATCCTGCACGTCGTTAGCTTTTCTTCTAATGATTGGAATAATACATACCCACTACAGGACATTTTTACAGTCACAGAAATGGGAAGGCAAGCAGAAACAAATCGTCTCTCTCCATGCTTCTCGGGGGACACTGCTGTTAGCATCAAGTATCGTTTCTTTTGGGCATTGCTTTCTTACCTGGCTGAGAACATGCTACATGGATATTGCTAAGCCTGTGTGTCATTTCTTTTCACTTACCATATAGCACAAGAGTATACCTTCTTGCTCCTGTCACTAACATGGGTGTGCTACACTTTGGTAAGCTATCTGTCCCTCTCCTGCTGATCATCTGAGTGTTTCTAGCTGTGTTTGAGTTTTCTTATTATACATCATCCTGCCATGGGTGAGCCGTGTGGTTGTCCTGGTGTATCATTTTACTCAGCCATAAGGGGTTAAGTAAGGTCCACCCTCCCCATGGCCCCATATGCACCTGTACCTGTGGTTCTCGTGTCCCCAGAGGTCTCAGTTTTGGCAAAGGTGCTCACGATCTTGATGTCAGGGAAGAGAGGCACTCCCCTGGCACTTTCAAACTGGGCAGCAGGTCTCCAGAAGCGCTCTGTTCCCTGGAGGGTGATCTGGGGCTCGATGGCCTGCAGGACCATGATGTAGGCATCCACATCTGGGATGCTGATGCACACATCTTCCCCAAAGCACCTGGGAAGACATCTCCAGTCATGGCCCTGATCAGCTGATGATTTAAACCGTCCACTCCAGAGCCATGAGCAATGACTGCTACCTCCAGTCCTTGCCAGGGTGCCCTGGATGTTAGGAGTCTCTGAGGATGGCAGTAGACCTTCGCATTTAAAGCCACATTACCACCCTAACCACTAACAATGTAGGGACTTAAAAGATTGGCTCCTGGGAAGGATGAGACTTTGCTATACTAGCAACAAGTAACCATTAACACTTTCATTATCTTTTAGCAAAGTAATCAATGGCAACATTAATTAGAAAGCAACTGCTTGCTTTTGTGCAATAGTGTTTGGTAAGGGAATTGTTGTCTGGTTGGCTATATAGCTATCTTACTAAATGAGACCTCAGGGCTAAATTCTCCTGCTGTGGCTGATGCACATGTTCTGTCTCTGTGGGATATCATGGGGGTACACCTATTCTGTGGGTGAGGGCAGAAAGCTGAAGTGGTTACATTACTTTACCCTAGTGCACTGCTACATACATGAGTGTCTGGAAGACAGTAATGATATTACAAGAACCAAGGCTTGGAAGTGGGATAAATGAGGATCCATGCCCTGCTTGGCCACTCCTGACTGGGCATTTCATTGCTCTGTACTTCAACTTCTTATCTCTACAAAAGGGAGAGCAATGATTGCCCTGTACTAGTAATGGCTAGTTATAAAGATCCTCAAAAAGGCTGCTGTCCAGAGCTTGCATCCTGGTTTGAGCCCAGTAGAGTCCAAGCCTTCTTATTAGGCTTGTTGAAGCCTACATGCCATCGGTATGCTCCATTATCATTGAATCCAAAGACTTGGGCAAAAAAATAGTGAGCACTGCCTAGACCAATTGTGTGTTCTAGGCATTCAGGCCATAGCCTACAAAGGCAGCCATCATCCTGTATACTGAGGGAAGGACCCCGATAGAAGAAGGAAGGGTGGTTTGTACAAGTCTCCTGTTGAGATGGATTTTCATCTCTTCCATGCTCTAGGTTAGATGCTGAGTGTGGGTGCTGTTGAGGTTACCAGCCCAGCTTCCTGTTGCCTCTGCCATGCCTACCCAGTGGGCTCCCCTCTCCTTGCAGTTTATGGACAGCAGGTCTCAGGGATAGGCAATCTCTTCCCTCTTCTTTGCTCCAATTTGGAGCTGACTCCAAGGTGCCTACATCTAACCTTAGGCCTCTGAGTAGAAACACTCTTTTCATCACCCTATTGCGTGTTGCTTCTCATGGTGGGCATCTGTCCCAGGCCCAGCAATACAGCAGTCAGTAGACCCATCCTTCCCACCCTTGTTCCTTTCTCCTGAGTTCTTCTAGCCCAGTTGTGTGGTGACTCCACATCTACCTCCTGGGAGTCTCTCTGGTGTTCCTTGCCCAGCAGTCATCTCAAGTAGCTGGCATGTCTGAGAAGTGAGTTGTCAAGACTATACGTAAGCCTTCAAAAACTTCAATAATCTCATCTCATTCATTGAACTCTGCTCCCTGGGGACAAGATCTATGCCTTCTCTTCCTCTAGCTTGCCCATAGTATTTAGGAATTCTACAAAGCAAAGTTGGTTAATTTCATTGAATTTAATAAGTACTTGTCAACCATCTACCATGTACTAGGTGCTATGCCCTTAAATCAGAACATTTGAGACCTAGGTTTTGGAGAATTTATAGAAAATAGGGCTTTCCAGGCATTGGATTAGATGTGGAATAAAACACAGAAAGGTGGATTTGAACTGGTGAAACAACATAACATTTCCCTTAAGAAATCAAAAGGACAGCACAGGTCCCTGAAGCATCCTCCCGTGGACAGCAGAGTTGAGGACAGCTGAATAAGAGAAGGCCTACTTGCAAAGGAATATTCTTAAGGGGCCACTGTTGCTGCCTCAGCTGGGCCTAGGCTGATCGGCTTTCACTTACTGAACTTTGGAAGAGAGTCTGAGGCGCCGGACACCCGCTGTTGGGAACTGCCTGGAGTTGATGTAGGAGACCTTCTGGAGGGCTCGGTTGATGTTCCCAATGTCATCACCTTCCATCACGAGAACAGACTGCGAAGGGTTGAAGTGATACTGGAAGACAGAAGTGGGCATTATAGGAAAGATGGTCAACGACAGGCGTGGTTCTCAGAAAACCGCAACTCCACCAAGAGGCCACTAAGGCCACCAACGTCATCTCCAGAGGATAAGAAGTTGTGGTCTCCACCTCTCCAGTAAGTAGCTCCACTTTCTTCTGAACTTCAGGACCTTCCCTAGGAGTTCAACCTAGGGATTAGACATTCCTGGAGATTCAGCCTGAACCACAGGATGGAATTCTGAAAACCCTGTCATGATATTCTTAGTAAGAGGTATTTTTGTTTTGTTTTACAGACAGGGTCTCACTATGTAGCCATGACTGGCCTGGAATTCACTATGTAGACCAGGCCATATTAATTAATATCAGATTAATAGGTATTAGCCTGCCTGTGCCTCCTGAGTACTGGGATGAAAAGTACGAGCCACGATGCCCTGTGGTAGCAAGGGTTCTGTGCTATTGTCAATCTTTTGCTGATATTTTCACAATCCATAATCTCATACATATAAACACGTGAATGTTTCTAGAGGACAAATCCTGGCAAGGGAAATTTCTAGGTCAAAGAGTAGTACATGCTCTTTGTCCATGCTGGCAAATTTCTGATTGCCTGAATTGTCAACACACACACACACACACACACACACACACACACACACACACACACACACACACACACCTTCCAGCAGAGTGCAAGTATCACTTCTCTAACCTCGGCCATTTGTATGCTATCAGTCTTTGGGAACTCAACCAGACTTATAGGTGACAATGACAACTTACTCTAGTTTTAATTCATGTTTCTTGTACTACTTGGGAAGTTGAATTTAGTTTTCATGGGTTAAGGAAAACTATCTGTTTACTCCACCCTGACCTGACCCAAATGTCTTCATAGCAATATTCTTGTTCTATGTTTGGAGATGGATGTGTCATTGTTGATTACACTGAACCATGTGAATCACTGGCCTGGTGGTCCTAGTCAACTGATGGGTTTTTCTTTGTTTTCTTTAGCTACTAAGTAAGTGTTTTATTTCTGCCTACTCCTTGAAGCACCTAGCTTTCCTCATTTAGGTCCCATTGGGATTGGGTGCTTTTTCTGTAGCACTTACACAATAGTAGCATGATTACATGGTACACTGATAAGGGCTTTTCTCCCTGATCACAAGGACCCTACTGATCCCTTGATCCCAGAAGCTAGCCCCAGTGATCTGAGAACTCCTTTTAGATGCATAAGTGAATGGTTCTTCCAGCCTCCATTTTACTCCGCACCATCTCCTGTCTGTCCCCACAGGACCTCCTTCTAGTTACTTGCTTTTCAGCAGAGCTCATCATCACGGTACCAAACCCTGTTCTCTCCCCTTCCTGGGCACTGTAGAAGTGACACTTCCTACCTCCTTTGTGCCATGTGACTACACCTGACCAATGAGACATGAAGAGAAGTGAAGATATAATGCCCTGGACCAAGGCAGGGACTTGCCCCGTGGAGTTTTCTAGTTTTTTCTCTCCACTCCAGTGACATTCAGCTTCTACACAGGAACTCTACCTCATCTCCACTACTTAGTATAAGAGGTAAACACGTCTATGTGTCAGTCCACTGAATCTGGAGAGTTACTACCACAACAGGTCAGCCTGTCTGGAGGATGGAGTCAGCCCTCTCCAGTCATGATTCTTCTCTGAGGCTATGCAGCATGTTTGAGAGACTACAACATTCGGGATTTTCATTCTAGCCCCAATGCATACTACAGAGTACAATTTTGGACAGTTATGTCCCCTTTCTGGACTTCATTTCCTCATTTGAAACATGTCTGAAGTTTAAATGAGTTAACATACAGGATGGATAGACTGTAAATGAAATACTTGGGGTCAGAAGTATTTGGGATTTTTTTCTTTTTTCTTTTAGATTTGGAATATCTGCACATAGATGTAATGAGGTGTTTTAGGGCTAGAACCCAAGTCTTATATGAAATTCACTTATGGTTCACATGTACCTCATACACACAGTCTGAAAGTAATTGCATATAATATTTTTAATGTGCCTGTGGTTTGACTGTGGTCTGTCACAGGAGACTAGCTGCAACTTTTCCATTTGTGGTAGCTCGTCAAGTTTTGTATTTCAAACCACTGGATTAAGGATGCCTACCCAATAGAGTTTCTAGTATTTACAAAGCATTCAGTATTTGGAAGCCTGGGTTATAATCCCCAGTGCTGTGCTAAGTCTATCTTGTTGAGTCTTTGCTGATGGGACCACTGTGTCCTTGCTGCCTCTCCTTCCCTGTGGGCTCACTCTTTCCTGTCCCTCAAAGCCCTGGGTAGGGTCTCTCTGAGCTGTGACATCTGTCCATGAGCATAGCTTCCTTGCTCTAGATCCAGGAGGCTCCAGGTAGATGTTCCACAGCCAGCCACCAGGTGTGTCTCTAGCCACTATTCCACAGCCAGTTGTCAGGTGTGTCTCTAGCCATGGATGCTCAGCTCTGAAGCCACCACACACCAGTGGGTCATAATCAGATCTGAAACATTTTTACAAGCCATCCATTTTGTAGCCAGGAAGATTTAAAGTCGTCCTTCTAAACACACTACTTAGGACTCTTGATGTTCCTATGCACATTGATATGGGTGCCATAGTGGAGTCTTGTGGCGCTGCTGCTGTCTGTGTGAGACCCTCAAGGGCCTGGTTACTAGTTTACTTAAGCAATAGGGTCTACAGCAGCAATAGTATGAAGAAGATGGTTAGTGCTGCAGAGCAGGCTGAGGTTTGCACCTGGCATGAGGCTGAATAGGAAGAGCAACAGGTTCATCTATAGCAGTGGTCCTCAACCTTCCTGATGCTGCGACCCTTTAACACAGTTCCTCATGTCGTGCTGACCCCCAACCATCAAATTATTTTTGTTGCTACTTCATAACTGTAATTTTACTACTGTTGTGAATTGTAACATAAATGCTGTTTTCTGATGGTCATAGGTGACCCCTGTAAAAGGGTCATTTGACCCTAAGGGGGTCACAATTCACAGGTTGAGAAATGTTTTAGAACGATGACTAGGTAGCATTTCTTGGCAATCACAGAGCACATGTCTCCACTGACTCCTCCTAGCAAAAGCACAGGCTGGATGCTAATATGTTGGATTTCCAGTTAACACCAAGCCTGCTGTGGATATCACTCTGTATAAATAAAACACTGATTGGCCAGTAGCCAGGCAGGAAGTATAGGCGGGACTAGCAGAGAAGAGAGAGGAAAAGGACAGGAAGGAGAGGAGAGGAGAGACCTGTGAGCCACTGCCATGACAAGTGAGATGTAAGGTACTGATAAGCCATGGGCCACATGGCAACTTATAGATTAATAGAAAATGGGTTAATTTAAGATAAAAGAAGTAGATAACAAGAAACCTGCCATGGCCATACAGTTTATAAGTAATATAAGTGTCTGAGTGATTATTTTATACGTGGGTTGTGGGACTGTGGGGCCTTGGTGGGACCTGGAGAGAAGCTCTCCAGCTACAAATGGCACCCAATGGGTTGGCAAGAGTTTCCACCTAAAACTTGACAAAAGATTCTAAAACGGAGCTAAAAACAGTTCCTAGTTGTCTCTCTCAAGTTAGTGGCAGCCTGAATGTTTGAGCTACTATGGCAGGTTCCTGGCGTGTGTGCTCAACCTGCAGTATGGCGGGAATGAGGCCTCTGCAAATGGCACATTAACCTGCATGGTGGATTTAGCCTTTGTGAGTACAAAACAAAAAAAGAGGTTTCTGAGCTACATGCTGCTTTGATAGAAGCATAGACCCACTATTTCTGAGAATCGATGGCTCTCAGAGCTGGCAGAAAACATACCACTGCCATGTTGGGAAGCTAAAGTGGGCAGAGCCAGCAGCCACTGTTTCAGTCTTAGAATGCTGCAGTTTAAAGCAATAGGTTCACAATAAGACTGATTCAGATGGAATAGTTTACAATGTATGTAAAAATGTATGTAGGCTTGAAAGAGAGAAAAAAGGAATATATGCAGTTATATAAACAAAAAGACAGTAAAGGTAATATAAAAAATAAGCCACGTAAAGATGGCTATCACACAGAGAATCTGGATTATGTTCTCTTTGATATTCATAACTAAAGAAAAACATTTGATTGTAAAAGCTGTTGAGTTATGCCAAAATGTATAATTTAAAGATACCTTGACTTCAAAATTTGGATATAAGGATATGTTGCTTTGGAAAAGAGGCTCTACTTTTGTTTCCACAGAAATCCAGAGGCTATGAATTTGTTCCAGATTAAGATACATCAGGTTTGACCAGCCACGACCCCCGGAAAGGTCTCCGATGACACCATGGCTCAGATGATCCAACATCCAGAATGGTTTCAAGGCAATTGGCTCAGATGATACACCCTTGTGCACTACTCCATAATCCTAAAATTTTCTTTGTGTCCCCATAACATACAGCACCCCCCTCCAGCAGGAAGTAGTAAGAGAAGCTACGCCCAAATTCCCAAATATACCAAACTGGCTTTGGAGATAGAATTGGCTCATTCCTTCTCTAAACCCAAACATATTGCTACAATAATAAAAAAAAGGTTAAGAGAGTCATGTGTCCCATATCAGAAGAGCCCTCTGGTGTGGGACAGTGAAAAATCAATATTTTTATTTAAAACAGGTTGATTATAAATACAATCTCTTTCTAAAGAAAAAAGGGGATATAATATAGATATAAGGTGAAAGGGTATATTAATGAACCTACTTTTAAAGAGCAACAACTTGTTTGAAATATTTTAGATTGGTATAGATTTTAGTTTATTGATACAAATTTGAATTTAATTTTGGTATACTGTGTGTATATTTCTACTCTTGTTTAAGGTATTGTTTGTACAGCTCATTTAAAATTGTAATGGATAATTAAGAAATAGATTAATAATTAGTAATCTATGATAATAATACTTATAGCCATGTTAGTTAAGTCTTCTAGGTATACATAGATATATTTCAAATAAATAGGTAATCTTCAAATACTTCAAAGACCTACAGAATATGACATTTAAAATGTTTTAAAAATTTAGACTTTCTGGACAGTGTGACAGTCTGCTTCTGGCAGCACCGGATTTACTTCAAAGAGGAGGATGGGCATCAAAGACACTCTATATGGAGTTTATCTTCACCTTGGCAAAAATAGCCATTTGGGCAAGAAATTGATCTTGCCTGAACTGCTTTAAAAAATGTATCGACTGGACATACAGGACCCATAGAAAGGTGACTATTAAACTTTGCTTGACAAAATGGTCCTTCAGGTTCCTGCTTCACAGAGGAAACTGCCAGACATTCTACAGGACACAGAGAAAAATGACTAAGAGACTCTAGCCCTGTGGGCTGAAGACAGATGCCCCAACTCTACAAAAGAACATTATGTGACTGTCCAGGCTACCAGCTGTCTCTGTCTACCCTGCAAGACTCCCAAAAGTTGCTTGTATCCTTTTTCCATTTCCCAGATAATATTATATCCTTCTGGGGTCTTTGATGTGGTTGAAGACTAGATAGTTATAATTTCCTCAGTTACGATAAAAGATGGGTTAGATATAAAACCTTAGGCTCACAAATATAAGATAGATAGGATATCTTCTTTAATATTGTAACTGTAATTCTTGCTTGATAATTGTTTTGTTATATATAATTTTACTGTTAAAGTTAAAATCTTCCTTTTAAAAAAAAAGAAAAGGGGAAGTGCTGTGGAATATCACTCTGTATAAATAAAACACTGATTGGCCAGTAGCCAGGCAGGAAGTATAGGCAGGACTAGCAGAGAGGAGAGAGGAAAAGGACAGGAAGGAGAGGAGAGGAGAGACCTATGAGCCACTGCCATGACAAGTGAGATGTAAGGTACTGATAAGCTATGAGCCACATGGCAGCTTATAGATTAATAGAAATGGGTTAATTTAAGATAAAAGAAGTAAACAACAACAAGCCTGCCATGGCCATCCAGTTGATAAGTAATATAAATGTCTGAGTGATTATTTTATATGTGGGTTGTGGGACTGTGGGGCCTTGGTGGGACCTGGAGAGAAGCCCTCCAGCTACACAAGTCCAGGCCCAAGAACGTCTTTCTAACCATAGAGCATAAAGATAGATACTGGCCCAGCTGTCAATATAGTTCTTGCAGGATCAACAAAAACCTCCATAGGTTCTAATATTTTTCTAGCTTCAGTATTCTATGCTCTGGGGATATGTCAGTAGTTATATGGCAGACACATATGCACTAGCGTGCATAATCACAGGGACAAATGGTGTCTACAGTTCCTTGGGAATCTGTGCTGTGACCACAGCGAGCCAGAAGATGCTAGAGAGGTATCTTCCAGAATGGCCATATCTCCCAGACACTCAGCTGGTTTCTTCAGTTTTCTTGAAGGCTGGACCATCAGTGAAATTCCTATCCAAAGCCTGGGCTCCCCGTGCCACAGCAACAGACTGGTTATGGCTTACTGGGCACCTTGCCATTCCCTGACTACCTGCCACCTGACAGCCTCTTTGATCTGTACCAAATGACTTGGAGAGTAAAGGCCTTTGCCACCAAGCCTGATGATTTGAATTGTCATCCCTGAGACCTACACGGTGGAAGGGGAAAACTGAATCCCATAAACTGTCCTCTGACTTCCACATGAGTATCATGGCATGCACCCAGCTCTAAATACATAAGTAAATGTAGTAACAAATTAACAGAAAGGTCTCCTATGCCATAAAAGGACCTGTGATTTGTTGAGAACCCATTAGGTTTGCTACAGAGATACATATCTATATGTTTAGTAAATTAATACACTGCTAAAAGATACATAGTATTAATTCCATTTTGTACATGGGGGTGGGGCTTTATGGGTTGAAGTATCTTGCCTAGGGTCGCCAAGGAAGTAAGTAGTAGATAGATATTGGTGTCGAGAACCTAGGTGTGTCTGGCTCTAAGGTTACTAATCTTTCTTGCCCTGCCACACTGTGGGGATGATGATGGAAAGGGTGGTGCCATGAAAATCAGAACAGGTTACTCTTCCAAAATGTGGCTGTTCCATGGTATCTTGCATGGGTGCAAGGCAACCACCACCACAACCCTGTAGAGACTGAAATATGCTCGAGCGATATCCAGAAACAAGCAGGACCCACAGGAAGACAAGTGGAGCAAAGAGCTGGCCCTGTGAGTGGAGAAATTCCTCCAGCAAGTGAGGGCTTGCTTATTTATAAGTCACACAGAAGGAGGCTGGTCACCAGCAAATCAAATGACTTGAAATGATCATTCAGAAATGATGTGCAGGAGACACCCAGGGTCTGAAGGAAGTATTTTTAATAATGGTCAAAGCCATCTTTTAATCAGGAGCTGCTGGTGTGGAGGAAAGAGCATGGACTTACTTTGGACAAGTCCCCAAGCCCCAGTCCCCTTGCTTTTGAAATGAGGTCATAATATTTAATTTGTTTTGAGGAGTAGAGATAATGAACATAAAATAGCCCCCAGTGAGCGCTCTGTAAACCGAGTGTCTTATTAACTTCTCTCACAGACCTCAAGCTCTCACAAGCCATGCCTTAGGGATGGGAAAGGATCATTTACAGTGACTTGGGTATGAGCAGGTGGGATGCTGAAAAGCCTCTCCCTAGACCCCTCTATTTGTGTGACACTTAGCACCTTTTCTTTCCACAGGCTATGACTACTCTGTAGAAATCACTTTGGTTCTTAATTCATAATTCACAAATTGCCCGTCTGTTAAGTCTAGTATCTGTTGGTTTTTTTTTTTTTTTTTGTTTTGTTTTCTCTGTCAGACTTGGAACTCTGCAACAGTAGCCCCTTGGGATGGTTCAAGGCAGAGGATGCATTCAAAGGCAGGCAGTGAGCTGGAGTGAGAAAAAGAGAGGCTTGGAGGCTAGATCTCCACAGCACTGGGTGGACAGTATCTCCAGGAAATAACACATGCTGATCAGAACAGCTTTCCCAGTGACATGTGATTAACATGTGTGCATGAGCACGTGTGTGTCAAAGTCATGGTAAACAGCATCTGGAAAGTCAAGCTTGCCTAACTATGTCTTCTGTATTCCTGCCATCGTGTCCGTCTGACCCAATGTCCAGGGTAGGCACCTTAAACCCTGCATGGCCAAGATTATTCTCTCTTGTTTGAGCTTTCAGTGGCTCTTAGTGGTTGACAGGAAAAAAAATACATCTAATGTGTCTAGGAGTGTCCATGATGTGGTCTTCATCTAGCTCTCTGGTTCCACTTTTGTGCTACTATTTGGGCATCCACAACACTGGGCTGGAGGTTCCTGTGCATTTCTGCCATACCCCTTTGCTACTGCTCAGATTCCCAGATCTTCTTGGAATGGCTGCTCTCTGTTCCCCTTCCTTTCCCAGGTGGACTCCTACCTGGTCTTACCCACTCTCCACAGGCTTCTCCTCCTCTGAGGAGCCTTCCCTGAAGGCCATTCTCCTGAATCTGAAGCTATGGAGTGGGACTGTCTGGATTCAAATTCTGGCTCAGCCCAGCACTAACTTAAGGATATTTCTTGAGCATCCATTAGCCTTCTGTTCTCCATATCGGATTGAGAACATTATGGTACCTTTACCCATGGGAAGGGGTATCACAAAGTGTAGTGGTCATAAAGCATTTAGAACAAGCAGTGTCTCCCTCTCAGAGACCTCTAGGAAATGTCAGTGCTCACTGTCAGTGTAGTGGTACCCTGTGGAGTACAACATTGGTACTATAGGGCCAGCAAATTATCTAAAGACAATAAGCTGAGAGCATCTACCTTTGTATACTAGAACCGGGTCCATAACTGTAACATGGCATGTTTGCTGAGGTGATCACATTTTAATGAGCATTACAGGTCCTTGTACCAGCAGGCCCTGCTTGCATACCCAGGGCCAGCATTTTCAAGTATCAGGCCCCTGTTAGGAGCAGGTTCTGCTGGAAAGAAAGACCCTGGCTAGGAAAGGCAGGCCCATGGTAGGATGGCAAGGCAGGTCCATGGCAGACTGGGTACAGATGGGCAGCAGGTGGAAATCCTTTGCCATTGCCATCTTCTCTTGGGAAACAGCCAAGGGGGAAACTACTATGGCTTCTGGAGACTCCAGCTGTCCAGATCTCCAGGACACAGAGCCCTCTGTGACTTCCAAAAAGGAGCTAGGGACTTGCTTTCCCACACTGGGTCCTGTGCTGATTTATCAGGGCCTTTGCTGGGACTAACCCTGCTCTTTATTCAGAACTCTGAGGCCCAGGGCCAGCAAGAGCTGCTTCTATCTAGGTGAGGCCAGAAGCTAACCTTACCTGTTGGAGAGGAGCTTGCTGGGGCCACAGCTGCCCCTCCCCCGCCTTCTGGGAGATGCTTTTCTAAGAACGCAGCTCTAATTTCCTGAATCACTTGAATATTTTTGTTTTATACAGGCAATAAAAACCACAAATCTCTTCATGTTCCTTTTGACTTCCAGATATTGCTTGGAAGGGAACTGGCTTCACTTTAACAATGTAAGACCTAGTGACTGTCATACCTGTTTTCCAATTCTATCTCATGTCTGTCTTCTCTCTCTTTCCGTGTTTCTGTTTTGGAGCCCTAATTTTTTGTTTACATTTTATGTTTTTGAAATGTATTCTTGCATGCCGCTTTAGTGCCTTTAGGCAAATGGATAGCAAAGTAACCAACCAATCTGCAGACAAACGAAGTTTCATCCCTCCCTCCAGGTAGACGTGGAATGGTGTCTACTGTCTGCTCTAGAGCACCTGATCTGGAAGTTTCTAGAGCTGGAAGCAGAAGTCCATCCTGGAAGTCATGGTCACTAACTGGTCCTTGTTGAAGTGTGATCACATCCTAACTGAGGCACCGTTTCTGTGAGGCTTCTCTGGAAACAATTATTTCCCGGCATGCTCAGGTATTGAGCAGCTTTCGCCTCATAAATCAGTGTCTTATCATTCGTGGTACCAGTGCCTTCCTTACCTTTATTCCTTGCCCGAGGCTTTCCAGGGAATTAATATCCAGCCCTTCTTTGCAGGCTTGCAGGCAAGAAATCACCTTCTGGCTTTCCATTTTGCCAGGACGGATCGTGAGACTGGCGAGGCTGCCATGGAAAAACTGTGCAAACCGTGGTTTGGCGACTTCGCCTCCTGTAGGAACAAGAAATACTGTCATCTGCCTTGAGGAGACGAGGTACCAAGGTCACTCATAGTGTCTCTGTGTTCTTGAAGCCTAAGGGATTAAAACAAGCCAGTGTGTGTTTGTGTGTACACAGGCTGAGCACCGTGGGACCTGGGGTCTGGTACCATGCCCAAACATGGTTCCAAGAACTCAAATTGCTGCTTCATCAGGAGCCACGCCCATCTCCTCCGTGGTCTCTATGCCAGGCTTCCCTTGAGGTCTCAGACAGCCGTTCTTAGCGTCTTTACTAATCGCAGCCCTCCTCCCCCATCTTTGGATGGACTGCATGGAGATTTAGCTCAGATCTTGTTTGGATTTTTGTTCAGAGAAGAAAGAGAACGTGGAGAGAAGATGGACCAGGACTTAGTCCCCATCTTGATATTTCCCGGGAGGGGTTTTGAGAATTCTTTGAACCTCCATAGCTCACCAGACACATTAGCGCCCCCTAGTCCTTAGGCTGTCTCAGCACAGCAGTTCCTGTTGTTTCCTGTATTTTATGCTGCCTGAGGCTTGGTAACTGGCTGGGCAGCATGTGAACGGCTTTCCCAGCTCTCCAAAGGGCAGCTTTCCAGCAAGTGGCACTTTGGCACCCTTGCTGCCTTTTGGTAAGCCGAGTGTGCCAACAGCGCCTTGCGAGTAGTGGATGCTCCTTGGGCACACAGCTCCTACGTTCCTTAGCGTTCCTTATGTCTCTACAGAGACATGCTACCCCACTTGTTTATGCTTTCCGGTGGGAACGTCTGGGGTGCTGCTTTCTGAATCTCTCCAGCTGACTTACTGCAGGGCTCTTTCTACTGCTTAGGAACGGGCTTGCCTGGGTTCCCCCTCCCACCTGTTCCATTGAGGTCACACTGGCTCACCCCCACCCTGTCCTCCCTGTTGCCCAGCTGAGGCAAATTGCAGTTTTTCAAGGTCTCCTAGGTTCCCTGTCACGCTTCCTCAAACCTTACTGAGTAGCTGCTTCCCAAGCCCTGTCCCTGCTCCGAGTCCCACTGTGCTCTAGGCTTAGGGCCTGGATCACTGCTAGTTGGTTTTCTTGCAGCCTTCCTCCTGGCATTGCTGTCGAATTGTTTACATGCATGTGCTGTCCTTAGGAGCCTAAATTGTTATCATCCACCTTGGCTACAAGTTTTAACCATCTGGGAATCTTTAAAAAGATAAACGGGTGCCTGGTTCTTGGTCTGATCCCCTGGAGATTTTGATTTAATTGGTACGGGGAGTTTTAAAAAGCGTCTTGGATAATGCAGATGTGAAGCCAAGGTTAAGAAGCGCTGAGCTGTGAGCTTCTCCAGGTTGGGCCTTTTGCATACTCCTTGTGTGATCTCTCTCCTTGATGCTACCCGCAGGCTTGCCCCTCACAAGCTGCTATAATTTATTAGTTTAAGCCTCTCTTTCCTGGATAGCAAAGATCACTCATGCATTATTCATTTTAATGAAGACAATACTGAGCAAGTAAGTCGTCGGGGCTGAGGGTTGCACCAGACACTGTGCATAAGTTGACTCATTTATTCTTCTCAAGAACACTTGGCCTCTCGTGTCCTCTTGGCATGCTGTAGTCTGCCTGGCATGCAACAGACACTTTATAATTGCCTGTTGAATTGAAGGAGATGATGTGCTGAATGCCATCAGAGTCATCGTGGGCACTGAGGCTCTCTCACCCTTTCCTTCTTGCTAAGTAAGGCAGCCCTGAGGCTTTGGGCATGGACACAAGGTCCAGGGACAGAGTCTAAGCAAATTTTATTACACCATCATTGTTTCAATGATGGATTCAGGGGTGGGCCTGGGGCCAAGTAAGAAGATGAAGCCAATCAGTACCTGGCATTCAATAAGCCATAATTATAGATCCAAGAATAAGCATGGTGACCAAATTTAGGCTACCATCATGAGAGATGATGACTGGTAGCTTATCCAAAATAGCTTCTATTTTGCTCTCAGAATTTTTTCAATGAACTCTTGTTGTCTTTCTATAGTGAACCCACAGCTGTGTAAGCCATCTTGCTATTAGACGAGGAGTGATAAGGGCAATGTAAACTGTAGGGCAGAACTAGAAGAGGCACATGGGACCAAGTAGACCCCCATGGCTATCTCTACTGCTGTGTTTTGGGACATCCTCTGTTATAGGAACCATCTGTCTTTATGTGTTAAACCATTTTGTCTCATAGATTGTTTCCTTGCTGCATAAGGATTCTTTGCTTTGAAAGTAAAACAAGTCGTTTTAATGCTTGGTTCACAGGGAACTCCAAATGGATGTGACTTTGATGAATGGCCTGAAAAGGACATGGCTATGGGAGGACAATTTGAGGTTTTCTGATCTTGATGCTTCTCCATAATATTTCCATGTTCATGCCCTAATGTTTTGGCTTGGCTGTCAAGTGCCCCCACCAAGAGGCCCTCATATTGAAGAGTGGGTCCCTCATGTTTAGAGGTTGGGTTTTTATAAAGTGATTGGGTGATGAGGGCTCTGACTAAATCATTGACCTAATCTGCTGAAGTATTCAAAATATCAATAGACTTCTGGGAGGCAATAGAACCATGGAGGGTGAGGCCTCTTTGGAAGATGCAGGTCACTCTATTTGTTCCCTGGATGTCTTAGGAACACATCTGCTCCTCCACACCCTTTTGCCAGGATTTTCTCCTTCACCATGGCCCAGAAACAATGGGACAGGCTGGCCAGGGTCTGAAGGCTCTGAAACCCTGAGCCAAGATAAATCCTTCTGCACATAAGGATTTTATTTTTATTTGTATTTATTAGTTTATTTTTAGTATTTGTCATAGCAATAAAATGTCTGATTTATAATCATGTGAATTTATATCTGTATATTTTTTTCCTACAGAAAAGAGGATGAAGGCCTGAACATGAGTGACGGAGGTGCTATTCAGATGGCCATCTATTTCCTGCCTTGTCTCTACCTTTGATCAGTAGAGTCAATGAGTATCACTGACTAGGTGTGACCTGTGTACCCAACACCATGTGCAATATCAACAAACATCTCCTTGAATCTTCATAACTGCCCTGGGAGATAGGCACTCATTATATTGGCATTCATATATAATATAACTTAGGCTCAAGTTGTAAAGTGTATGTCCCTACAATTCTGAGAACACCATCTATCATCTAGCCTGCCTCAGCATCTCATTCAGAGGCTCCATTTCCAAGGCCAATGTCTGTGACTGGCTTGGATGCCAAGATACTGCATTCTGTATTTCAACTTAAGAATCCAAGATCTGTGTTGTACTTTGCTTATGAGTCAGAAGTCTCTTGGAATTAGATTTAGTTAGCATTTTGCAATGGGAAACACACATTAAATTTGAAGTACATTTGAAGTACTAGTACCCAGTACTAGATGTGATATAAGATATCAAAAATAATAGATAAACTGAAAATTTTCTCTTTTTAATATTAAAAGTGTCTACATGGGACACACAGCTCCTCTGTCAAAATTCAAAATAAACTTGATCATAGATCATTTTAAGAGAACAAATTATCAAAACTTTGTTTCCAGGCATGATTTTGGATTTCTTAGACTAGATCAGCATTTCAAAAACATTTCCTATGTGTCTAGTCTTACATTAGGTTCCTATAATAGTAGGTGTGGGCTAGGGTCTTCAGCAATTTATATCGAGCAGAGAGAGAGATGAAGGAAAATTAAAATGTAAGACTTAGATGTTCTAAGATAATCTGAGTTTTCTAAGGCGGCACATGATCAATTTCTAAAGGATATGTCTACTAGGTCAGAGGAAAAAACAGCTATTGTGAGGCCCTTAAAATGCATCAGATTCTTTCCTATGCTATTTCATTGATCCCTAAAGAGGAGGGTATCTTAAGCTCTGTTCTTTAGATCTTTATTGGGTATTTCTCCCATCTCACTTCCATGAACACCTCTAGCCCTGCCACAGGTATGGCCACAGAAGAGGCCCAAGCTGAGTACCTATCCACATGTGACACGCTTCAGAAGCATAAACGTTTCAAAGAGCAAGGAAGACCTGACAGTGGGTCACCTTCAGCAAGTGCAGAGGAAGAGGATCTGGTTTCTTCCAGATGAGGTAGGCTGAAGAAATGGAGAGGATAGATTATGGAAAGAAATCACCTATAACTGCTTCCAGGACTGAGCCCCCAGCAGGATGTGTGATACCGTATGACACTAGGTAGACCGTCCACAGATGGACCTGCACAGAGAACATGAGAGACACCACAAGTATTGATGTAGCCCCCATGGAAGGCAAGGAAATGCCAAGACAGCGGTCAATCCTAAAGGATCATTAGTGACTGAGGACCAAAAGAGGTAGATGAGCACCATTTCAATGAATAACCACATGGAAAGGTGAATGGACCCACATTACCCTATAACTCTATATACTCACCTCCCTGATCAACCCACCATTACCCAAGGAAATGGGAAAATGCCAAATCTGAGGAGGTTAAACCTTTTTCACTCACACGGAATGAAGCTTGAAATGAGACAAAGAGGGGTGTGGAAAAAAAAAAAACATTTCATCTTTGTGAACTGATTGTCTGATCTGATACACTGACAACTCTTTTTTACAAAAGAAATGTACAGGTTTTGATAACTTTCCCAAGGTCACGTGGCTAGGGAACAAGTAACATTAAGATTCAGCCTTGACCCAGCCTTCTCTCTGTATATCATCTAATCTGATGTGGCTGAAAAAGTTGAAAGAAGACTTACTGGAGGGGGACAGATTGGGACCGATACAGGGCTGGCAGCGGAAATCCAGTTATGTGGCTTCTGTGGACATTAACTGGCTTCAGCAGCAATTCCCAGCAGCTGGGATGAAGAGGACAGGGAAACCCAGTTGTTTTAAAAGCCATCCAAACAGTTGGCCCCTCAGTGGTTTCACATCCACTAATTTAACTAACCACAGACTGAAACCATCTAAATCGTACTAAACACAGGTATGTCCTTTTCTTGCCATTATTCTTTAAGCACTAAGAACCATTATAGAGCATTTA